CTCGAGAAGAACCTGGCTATTACACGCGATCATAAAACTGACGTAACTACGCGGTAAGTCACAAACACCAACAAACAAAATGGAAGTTTTGGTTAGAAATAAATACTTTTTCTTGCCATACATCTAATAATAGACAGATGTCGTCGTCTCTCCAGATGTCTTTTTTATTTCTCTGTCGATAGCCCGACACGTATTCCGCAGCCATCTTGTATTTTCTCGTGCGCGTGGGATTGTGGGATCTCTCTTATGACTGGATCTAGTTTCGAGAACTCTCTCCAGTTGATCACTATTGAACCTCGTTTCAGTCAAGATTGAAATGGTCGAGAGCGTTCGCACCACGGAACACTCTCCGACCTTAGTCACAATCTAGATCGAAATGCTCGGTGCGAACGGGGTATAAGAATGTGATCTAACACATGATTCTGATTTCATCATTGATTGATTACTTCAATGATGAAATTAATTCATTGTTCACCATTGTGACTTGTCAAACTAAAGTTGCCAATAAGTGGCAGGTTTGTTCAAATGAGGTAAATCCATATATATTGCAGTTTTGAGTGACAAAATGTTGGAGGAATCATATCATGTAAACCAGTCTTTAGATATGTTCAATTTCTAAGCAACACTGTTACTGGAGTTTTGGAAAATCAGAGAGAGATGACACTCCCAATGAGTCATATGTTTCACTTAGAGCATTAGAGATACAGTATATTAAAAGGGGTTAAACTAATGGATTGTAAAATAGCATTCCTCACACAATAAATGCAGCTGACCTTTGGGTGTTTCTAAACAGAAAATGCTGATAATACTCATATCTTGTGGTGACCTAAAGTTAACAATAGTGACAGTACAGAAGACAGTAGAGGGGGCCCACATGAAATTAGACAAACAAAATACAGTTTACAGTTAGTTTTGTTGATGTTTTATTTCAGTAAAAAATAAGTCACCCATGACATAGCTACAGATAAGACGGTCTACAGTTTACCAAATTGGAGTCAGTATACATGTGCACTGTCTGCACATATATAATCTACCACTTATTATTATAACAAAAGAAACCAAATAACAAACAGTAATAAAATGTGCATTTGTGATATATAGATATATCGTGTTGTTGGTTATATCATATTTCTTATATGATTATCTACTTTATTTTATAAATGATGACACTTAAACAGAATTTCTCCTTTATTGAGAAATTTTTTCTGTTTATCCCCTCACCGAGTGATTCTGGTGCTTCTGAAGTGGTCTCAGCGACTCTAGCGGCGCTTAAAAACTGTCAAGCGGCATCTAAGTTCCCTAGTATGGAGAATTTTTTCTGTAAATTTTCGTCCGATTTTATTAAATAACTAGCTTACCCGTCGCGCATTGCTGCGATCTCAGAAGAAAGGAAATTCAAGCAAACTCGTTATGATAAAATTCAATTTACATTTTATCATTTTTATTGAAACTTATTATTATTATTCATTTTCATCGGGAAAACATTTNGTTCTCATTCTTTACAAGTACTGAACAGAATAAGACATAAAAATTTACTTTGCGATGCTGTTTTAAATACTGATGATGGAGGACAGTTCCAAATTCACAAATGTATAATGGCTGCTTACTCTGATTATTTTGAAATCCTATTCACGTTTACGATTTATGGAAAAGACAAACATTCCTTTTTAATGTATGATGTCAACAAAGATATCTTAGAAAGAATCATCGAATATATTTATGAAGGTCACACCAAATTGGAATGGGATAACGCCCGAGAAGTATTCACTGCTGCTGAACAATATCTTATGGAAGGTTTGGTGTTAGACTGTTTAATATTTTTCGAACTGGAGTTGAACATTCAAAACTGTCTTATAATAAGGAAATTCATAAAGACGTATCATTACCCAAAATTTGAAAAATTAATCGAAGACTATTTATTGAAAAACTTCGAAGATATAGCTACCAAAACTGCACAGATAATGGACCTCACTGTTAAAGATCTAATAGAAATTCTCAAAAAGGATAAACTTAATGTTAAATCTGAACAATTCGTTTGGGCGACGATATTAAAATGGATCGATATAAATCCACGACAGAGGCAAATTTACATATTTCAGTTGCTGAAATGTTTTCGTATCGGGTTACTAAATATGGAATTTCTCACTCAGAATGTGATAAACCATTCTTATGTTCTAGAGAACCATCGATGCTATTTTTTACTTATCGAAACATTAAGGTTTCTAAATAGCATAAATATAGTCGAAAGCATGTATTACAAAATGATCATACCTAAATTTGCCCGTCCAAGATTTCCATACGAAATCATATTTGCCATAGGAGGGTGGAATTATGGTTCTACTTCTAATGCCATGGAGATGTATGATGTTAGAGCCAATCGATGGATTCAACCTGAACATAATTTTCAGATGTCTCCAAAAGCTTATCACAAATGCGCAGTTATAAAACATCATATTTACATAATAGGTGGCTTTCATGGGACAAAGCAATTTAATAATTGCAACTGCTTTAATGCAATTGATAAAAGTTGGAAAGAAATAGCTCCAATGCATAGTAAACGCTGTTACGTAAGTGTTGCGGTTCTAGATAACATCATTTATGCTATGGGAGGATTTGATGGTTTAGTTAGAAAAAACACTGTTGAAAAATATGATTGTAATAAAAATCAATGGACTATGATTGCACCCATGAATTTACAGAGAAGCGATGCGAGTGCCACTACTTTAAATGGTCGTATTTATATAACAGGTGGATTTACTGGAACAGAAGTACTTAGATCTGCAGAATATTATAATCCTGGAAATAATCAATGGACACTCATTCAACCAATGAACGTTCGCAGAAGTGGAGTATCTTGTGTAGCATACAAAGGATGTATTTATGCATTGGGAGGTTTCAACGGTAACACTCGCCTAGACACAGTCGAAAAATACAATCTACATCGAAATGTTTGGAGTGATGTACCACATATGTTATCATCTAGAAGTAATTTCGATACCGTAGTAATTGATGATGCAATATGTGTAATTGGAGGTTTCAATGGAAGGACTTCAATTTCTCAAGTAGAATGTTATGACGATGAAAGTAATCAATGGCGCAAAGTATCAGAGATGAACATAATTAGATCAGCTCTAGCTACTTGCGTTGTCCGTGACATTCCTAATATCAATGATTACCTCTATACACATAGAGATCGATTACTTGAAGAAAAGCGGAGAAATCTGTTACAGTTGCAATTACATTGCACAAATAATTCAAACGTTTAATCTGTTTCTAATGTGTATAAAATGTTTGTATAATTGCTTAATTAAAAAAATATTTAATAAACGTATATAATAATTTAAAGTTATTGCGTATTTTTAAATTCAGTACCATGGACGAATAAATAGTTTTAAAAAGTAATATTGTAGGGTTTTGGAATTTAACTCCTTTAGCCCAGCACCAAGAAGGCATTTTCAGCAAACTCATTATGGGTTCAGCCAGGTCTAAAATGGGACAGCTAGCTAGAATGAAACGAAGCGCGATATACCTGAACATGCCACCACGAGATCCTCCTAGGGCTTTTCGATCCATCCGGATTTGTTCCCTGGTTCTCTGAGCAGAGTTTTTCGACTTTTTCACACCTGCAGATCAGAAAAAATAGAAATATTTTGCAGACCGACAGAAGGCAAAAGATAAATTATCTTTGAATTAAACCGTGCACGGCTGTCGTAACTTTATTTAAACAATCGCAAAAAATAAAATAAACCAACAAGTTGCTCAACTTTCCTCGCAACATTTAACATTCTCGTGGCGCCATCTGTTGTCATATTTTATTTTAAAAACTTTTAAATCTTTAACTATTATAAAATGGCAAAAACCTGAATTTTCAGTATAGGGATGAGTTTTATAAAATATTGGAAATGCTAATAACGAGTATAATCTTCATTAAGTCCGACCCTACTCGTGATACACACGATCGCCATTATCTTTCCACTCCGTCGACGTTTAATCACCAAAATTTAACAGCATTAATTCTCCTAATTAACAAACCTTCCTGCAAAACTTCAGAAATAATCGACAAAAAGCACAGAAGTTATTCGTGCCCCCCACACAAAAACAACCATCCATACACACAGGGGAAAAACCCGATTTTTTGCAATTCTCGACGTTTCAAGGTGCCTTCAGTCCAAAAATATAAAAATCCTCAGATCATTTTCTGACCGATCGCCATACTTTTTCTCTGTTAAATATATGAAACAGAACCGGAAAAGTAAAAAGTACTTAAAAATAACTACTAACTTGCCTAACAAATATTAGCGTAGTAAGCTACTGAAATTTTGAACAAAATTTCAACACATTTTGTTTATCAAAAATTTTCTCACATTTGGAAAGATTATAAAGATTATAAAGCTATAAAGATTAATCTTTAAAACCATTTTTTAACTTTTTTTAATATATAAGATGTTCCAAACTGTGGACACAAACTTCGGGAGTGGATTTCTGATAGGTCCTATTAACATATGTCCGGAAATGCACTGTTCTCCAGTATTTGGATGCTACTGCCGAATGGCAATGATTAAAGTGTTCGCCTACAAAAAAAATTATGCAAAATTAAAAATGAAGAAAATCTTTATAGTTTACAATAAAAGTGCTTAATTCAATTATTTACAATTCCATTATAAACTACATTGCAATGATTTCGATAGAGGACCTAATAATGATTTGTGACTAACAATAGTTGGTCTGCTGCTCTTTAAACAATCAACAACAAGCAAAATTTTATCATGGACGAATTCCAGGAACAATTTAAGAAATTTTGCAAATTCGGAGATACAAAAAGTAAAGGAGACGCCATTACTCTTACAAGCACCGATAAATGGTTCAGACAGGCTAAATTCTTTGATAAACCTAGTAACATCACCGGTGCCGATACAGCAATATACTTCAACAAGATTGCCAAGTAAAATTTTCTGCACAAATTAATTTAAAAAAATCAAATACAATTGTAATTTCTTTATCTTCTTCATTAGAGGAAAGAAAACTTTATCATACAAAGAATTCCTGGAATATTTAGATACTTTGGCAAAAGCCAAGAAGATGGATATAGACGAAGTTAAAGTTAAATTGTTGTTGTGTGGTGATCCCGGAACAACTAGCACAACCGTTTGGTTCCTCTTTATTTTTTACTATTTTTAAGATAATTTTGCGTTTTTTATTAATGTTTTCCCGTGTTTTTAGGCAGCAGTCAAGGTCGGGGCTGTGGATCGTCTAACAGACACTTCGGCTTATACGGGAACTCATAAAGAAAGATTCGATGCATCCGGTAAAGGTAAAGGCATCGAAGGAAGGCAAGAAAGAGCAGAAAATACAGGATACGTTGGTGGATATAAAGGAGCCGGGACTTACGACAAAAGCCGTAAAAAAAACTGATTAAAAATCTGAAACCGAATTTGTAATGTCTCAATCATCAAAATTTTTTAATCCTTTAATTTTATATTATGGAAATTAATCATAATTAAATAAAAAGAGATTACAAAATTCTCAGAAATTATGCGTATTATTTGTGAGCTGCACGAAATATATTTATCAAAATTCCATGTAAAATATATAAAATATGGACATAATTAGATAATAGAGCACTTTTCTTAAGAATTTTAATGAGTTAATAAATAAACTTCTTAATAAATAAAAATTCTACTGTTATACTGTTTAATATAAATTAATTTTTTAAAAACTTATTTAACATCTAAATTTCATATTTAAAATTAAAAGTTATAAAATTTTTCGAGTCGTCGCGCCCCCACGCGTCAATCTAGAGAAGTAAAGAAAGTGATAGACGTGGCGTTAACGAGAAAGCTAGGACAGACAAGAAAAGATGTTGACCAAATTCGAAACGAAATCGGCACGAGTTAAAGGCTTGAGTTTCCATCCGAAAAGGCCATGGATCCTGGCCAGTCTTCACAATGGCGTAATTCAGTTGTGGGATTACCGAATGTGCACTCTCTTAGACAAGTTCGACGAACACGATGGACCCGTTAGAGGAATTTGCTTCCATAATCAACAACCACTCTTCGTTTCCGGAGGCGATGATTATAAAATTAAGGTAATTTAATCCGTTAGCCATGTGTTGAAACTTACAAGATTCCGCGAAGCTAAAATTGCACTTCTGAATGAAGAGTTTGAACCTTCCAAATGTTACACCCAACCCCCCTAGACCAGTGGATCTCAGTTTTTTTGAAGTCGAGGAACACTAAACTTTGGCATTTTTTTCCGTGTAACACTCACAATACATCAGCTTTAAAGCAGGGGTGGCAAACTTTTTGAAATCAAGTGCACTAGGTCTAGTAGATGACGACATTGGCGTTTGCTGATTACATTCCCATACAAAAATTATTTTACATTGTATTGATGTTTCTTTTGCAACAATTTTTAATTGTATATTTGATTTTTTCATGGAACACTTGAAGTAGCTTCATGGAGCACCCATGTTCCTTGGACCATGGATTGAGAACCACAGCCTGCCCTAGACAATAGCAAATGCAAACGAATTTTGATTCTTAGCTATTAAAATGTTTAAAGAATGAAACAAGAAGTAAATAATTATATCAAAAACATATTTTTCTTGAAAATTGGTTGATATATCCTAACTAGATAGAAGTTACCTAAAAGTAACTTAGGTGTGTTGCCCAGTAAAGCAGCTTTAAAGTGGCTGTGTAAGTGATGTAGCCCGTTTCGAATGAAATGGTGTTCCGTTAGCCTTCTTATCCAGCTGTATTAGAGCCGCACCTTTGGCATATTAAAGCAGTTATGGGCATATATAAAACATAATTTTTGAGGCTTGATATAAGCAAATATATTGGATGATAGATTGATGGTGGGTTAATTAAACAATAAACCTGGATTAACTGTTGGGTTAGAACTTGGCTAATTAATTTAATTTCTTATTACATATATATGATCATAAGAAAAGTATAGACATGGAATTACTTAATATCTGTGTAATTAATTACATAAGTTATAGCCTGATGGTTAATCTGGTTTTTGTATGACCGTTACTATAATTTGGACTTGGTATTTTATATAAAGTTATTTAAAATGTTAGGTAGATTGATTCAGAATAACTTTAAAACAAAATTATATATAAACATGATATTATGGAACCATATAAAACCATATTTATACTACAAAAAGTTAGGTTTAGAATAAAACCATTTTATTTCAAAACTTCCAAGAGATATTAAAATTAAGGGTAAGATTATAGCTCTGAATGAGACAATAGTGACCTTTCCATATGTGTTGATAATGATCAAAAAGTCAAAAGAATAGTGGTCCTAAATGTGTTCCAAAGTCACGATGACATCACCTTTGCTATGTTAGTGTTGTGGTTAGTCTTCATTACAAGTTTGTACGGTGTGTGATCGGTTAACGAACCGATAATCCGTTCCAAGACTTTGTTTGCTATTTGAATTATTTGTTAACCAATTATGAATTTACCATAGGTTTGTATGGGAATTTGATTAATTCGTTCTAGAGACCCCAAAAAATAAAAAATATATACTTTCTTACTACGTTTATTTAATAATACATATACACACAGACTTGCATTTTTATTAGTTATGTTTTTTTTTGTTTGTGGGGGTTAAATAATCTGTCTAATATCAATTGCTTTTCTCTCTTCTTCAGAATTTTCAGAATTAATAGCATTGTAATTGTAGAGATCCCCAAGCCTATAATCTCAACCTGGTTTGTATGCCATTCTAAGAACATTGATCTGACATCCCCCACTTCTTCAAAAGATCTTTAATTAATAGCAGATATCGGCATTAATCCTCTTTTTCAGAATAAAACATATCTCATCAATTGCAGAAATTGCTTTTAGCTCTTAGTATAATTAAATTAATTAATTAAAATATCTATAACCATAAAGTAGATAATAGGAAGGGCTTATCACACCAATGACAAAGGGCACAAACGCTCAAAAATCAAAGTAAAAAAAAAATTTAATAAAACAAATAGGGTTGTACAATAAGATGATTACATAAGTATAAAAACCGTAAAAATCCAAAATGCATTTCGGACTATTTTCCAATGGAAAAATAGTCCCTCATCCCTGTCGCTATTACCAACTGATGAGGGACTATTTTTCCATTGGAAAATAGTCCGAAATGCATTTTGGATTTTTACGGTTTTTATACTTATGTAATCATCTTATTGTACAACCCTAT